TCTGCCTGCTACTAAAAATTTTTTTTGCTTTTCCAGAAGTCCTGAAATAACAGTCTATATACTCTTTTTCTCTCCTCCCACTCCATTTTAAACCTACTCTAATCATGTCATTGCCTCTTCTCCAAACTCTTCTTCACTGAAACTGCTTTTGTCAAGGTCACCAATAACTTCCTCAATGATAAATTCAATGCAATTTGCAGTGCTACTCTTATTTGCACTCATCAGCAGCATTTTCCTCTTGAAATATTTCCTTCTGGCTGCCAGAACATTTTCCTGATATTCCTTCAACTTTATTACTCTGTTCTCTGTTGTTTCTTCTATGTCTCTCTGACCTCCCTGACCTCTCAGAATGCCCAAGGGCTCAGTCCTTAGACCTCTTCTCTATTCAACCTATGCTCCCTTCAAAGCAATTTCATATAATCTCTTGGCTTTAAATGGCATCTATACATTGATGACTCCCAAATTTATAACTTTCTAATTCATATCTCTCCTCTGAACTCCAGACTGACATATCCAATATCCTATACAACATCTCACGTTTAATACCTCCAACTGAATTCATGATATACATCCCCCTACCTACTCTTCAAACAGCTTTTTCATCTCAGTTGATTCCTGAGTCTTTCTCACCTTAATTGATGGGTGTTAGATTATGTTACTTGCTCAGGCCTCGAACTTGTAGTTATCATTGATTTTATTCTGCAACCCCTAAAGTCTTTACGTCTGGCTCCCAGTTTCCTTTCTGACCTCAACTTCCATTACTCTCCCTCACTTTTTCTTGGCTACAGCCATGTGGCCTCCATGCCGTTCCTCAAACACTCTCAGATCATATCTTTGTACTTGAAAATTTCTACCTGAAAATCTTATCCCTCAGATGCCAGCACTTCCTTCCTCCTTTCCCTTAGGGTCTTTGCTCAATACTTTTTCCTCCTGAGCATTTATCACTACTCAATATATTATAGTTTTTATTTATTTATCTTATTGTGTGTATGCCCCACTAGAATGCAAGCTATATGATAATAGAGATTTTTATTTTTGACTATTGTAATCCTAGCACCTAGAACAGTGCTCATTATATGGAAGGTACTTATAAGTATTAGTGAAATGAATGAATAATGAAAAGGGGAGAATGACAACTGTGGACATGACTAAATGAACAGAAAGTCTAATGGGGTCATTGAGCGTTTCTAACTAGCTATATAGTCTTTATAATCTTCAGAGGGACTGAAGATAATCAGTTTTCATGAAATAACAGAATGTAAGAAAATCCAAGAAAAAAGAGAAAGAACTTTTGAAAATTAGAAATACGACTGCTATAATTTTTTAATCAACTGAAGGAAAAGAAGATGAAATCAGGGAAATCTCATAGAACTTAGAACAAAAAAGAAAACAATGGAAAAAGAGAAAACGATAAGAGAAGCAGAGAACCAATTCCAGAAAGAGAGAACATGGAGGAAGAAAAAAATAAGAAGATAAAATTATTAAGAAAATAATTTTTTTAATTTCTCTAAGCTGAAGGAGGGTCTTTATTAAAAGCACCCATCAAATACTAAGCAGAAATTAGGAAAGAAAACCCATAGTTAGACGTGTTATAAATTCCTGAAACAGGAAGGATAAAAGGAACATGCTTTCACTGAGGGAAATTTTTTTTAACTAAAAAAATTTTTTAAAGAAAAAAAGGACAAGAATCTGACTAGCAGCAGACATCTACCTGTGAATCAATGCTAACTTTTAAGACCTTTAAGTATTTTTCCTTTTTTAAAGCTATAAAACCATATAAATAAATTTTATGCCCTATATATTCCCTTTCCCAGTACTACCATCCATCATCATTAAGGAAGATGATTATTTGAACCCAGAATTTCACATTCAGCTAAATTATCAATCAAACATGAGGGCTGCACAAGGTCGCTTTCAAACAGACACAGACTCAGAAACTTTACTTCCCAGTTGCCTGTTCTGAGGTAATTATTTGAAGATATTCTCCAACAAAACCAGGATGTAAACTCAGAAAGAGAAAGATGTGGAACTAATTTAGGAAAGAAGAAGCCCCAAAATGAGAGATGTTACAGAAACTAACATCAAGAAATTAGCCTAAGAAATTAATTAAATGGCTCCATGAAAAATGCCTCCAAAGAAGAATGGAATGTATTTCAAGCAATAGATACAAGGACTAAGGAACTGGAAAATATTGTATCACTTGATAAAGAAACTATGTTTTTTTCTCAATAAGAAAAAGTAAAAGTAAATAGAAACTCCAGAAAAAAATAAAACCTGAGTAAGAAACCGTGGTTCAAATACAAAGCAAATTAAAATATGACATTATATGAAAGTGACAGACTATAATGTTAGGAATTTTGTCCTTTGAATGGTGCAAGAGTCCCAGCACTAAAACTATGGGTGAGGAGATAGGAGTAGAAAACACTGATGATCTCTGCATTAACAACTATTTTATATAGAATGATTAAAAACACAAAATTTATTAAAAGTGGTGGCCTTTGAAAAGTAGAATTAAAAAAAAAAAACACTTGTTTACATATTCCATTTGATTAAAAATGTAACATCCATAGGAGGTGGAGGTTGCAGTGAGCCAAGATCACGCTACTGCACTCCAGCCTGGGCAAGAGTTAGTAAGACCCTGTCTCAAAAAAAAAAAAAAAAAAAGTAACTTTATACAGAATAAGAATGAAGGTAAAGTTTACTAAAACTGGTGTGTAAAAGTGTGAAATATCTGCCCACAAATTCCTTAGGAACTATCAAGGGAAAAAATAGTAACTTCAGAGGACAAACCTGGCAGATCACCCCTTAATCAAATAAGCTAACTTAGTTAACATGGACCATACAGTGTCAATAAGGGATGAAGTAAAATAGAAAGGTGTTAACAGAGGGAAAGAACAAGAGACAAAGTCTCAATAAGGATGAATAGGTGACATTTTGTCATCTCCTTCATTGTAGAAAAGGTTCCATTTTCAACTTTATTCTCACTTTTGAGTCATCAAAGAGCATGTTTCACAATTTCATAAAGTCACCTATATGAAGTTACTTGCTCTGAAGTTACTTGTTTCCAGAATTGAATTCTTTTCTAAACTTCAGAGCTATATTTCTCAAATACCATTAGACATCTTTAACCTTTATTTATTCAGATTCCTCATATTTGCTATATCAAAGGCATTCTCTTCAAATTACTCTCCAATCCAGCTCTCCTCTGACATTCGTTCTCAACTCATAACATTCATATATACTTTCATCCAAAAGAGATATCTCAGCCATCTTCAATTGCTTTCTCTCCTGTTTCTCACAACAAGTTCAATTCTATTTCAATTTTAAAAATATTATTAACTACCTACTATTCTCTGTCTTATTATATGTCAGGAAAGAAAAAATAGGATGCAAATATTTTAAATTTTGTCCTAAAATGTGGTTCAAATTCATTCTATCTTCTTTATTCTCAATGCCATAGTCTTTGAATAGGCCCTTATTGTCTCCTACATGTTCTAAATTATCTTCATATCTACAATCACTCTTCTCTCAAATCCCACAATGGAATTAGTTTTGTTTTGCTTTTTTCTAAATCTTGAATTTGCTCATTTCATCACCCTGTTAAAACTAGCAATGGCATAATTAATGTTAATGCCAAATGTAAATAACTTAGTCAATGACTAGGAATAGCATTTTTCTATGATAATTAATAGTGTGTCATTTTAACATATGAGAAGTTTTAGAATACATTTTGGATAATCTTATTCAAAAAGATAAGTCTGTTTTATAGATAAAGTCCTAACACTGCTTATAGAGAAACTAGTAATGAGTGTACTCAATTTGTCTATAGAAATTAAACCTAAATCTTATAAGCTAAGTAAACATTTTGGCTCATTTTACTTAACAATGATAGAAAGCAGACAATTGGAGCACATTCCTATATACATCTACAGTGAAATGTTTTTCTCCATTGTGTAGTTCTTGATAGTTCTTTCAAATTTAAAACTTATTTAAACCCAACTCGAATTATAGTTATTTTATATTGAAACAGAGAATATGGGTATGTTACAATAAAAAAGAAAAACAGTTTCTGAAACTATTCCTTGAGCATCAAAATGTTTGTACCCTTTTCACAGACACAGCTTTAATGGAACATCTACATTAGCCTGAACAGGGTAAACACAGAAAAGAAAGTATGGAAATTTGCTTTGTTTTGCAATTATTACTATGTGCAACTTTGAACTGTGTATTTACCATTAGACTAGAATGGATTCAAATGCCCAGGATAAACTCTGTAGTCTTGAACCCATTTTCTTTTCTTTTTTCTATTCTTTCTTTAAAATATATTTTTAGAAATGGGGGTCTCGCCATGTTGCCCAGGCTGGTCTTGATCTCCCAGCCTCAAGTAATCCACCCACCACGGCCTCCTAAAACACTGGGATTACAGACATGAGCCACCTCACGCAGCCTAGAACCCAGTTTCTAAGTAAAGTAAGATTTACATCAATCTTCATATAAATACATAAAAAATTATCTCATAGACACTGGTATAAAAGATTCTACTTCGAGAACTCGTAACTATAAGTAGGTCATAAGTAATTTTAAGATATGTTATCTACCAAAGAAAGAGATTATAAAAAGAATGTCAGTGTCATGGCTTCCTGCCATAATACACACATACATACAAACATACCCTAAAATTCTTCAAAAATGACTGAGTTTTGTTTATGCATAAAAGATATCTTATCTGAACAGAAAAACTTAAGTCAAAGGGAAACTTGAAGTTTTGTTCATTCCTCTTCTAATAATAGAGTTTTAAAAGCTGCCATTTGAAAAGTCAATACATTATTAAAAAGAAAATCAAAATCAAAGGCAGCAGAAATAGCAAAAAAAATGTAAACTATTACCTTCCTACTTAAACTACACATATATATAATATATATATTTTTAATCTGAGGAAAGACATTTATATTGCGAACTTATTTTCCCATCAGAAGTTTAAAATTGTAGCATCTACTTACCAACCCAACACAGTTGCTTAAAGCCACTTTAGTTGTACTACGTTGATCTTGCAAATATCCTGTGTAATGACAGTTGTCTAAAAAATCATGTTTCCACTGGGGTCCATCTTTCCCCCAATATTCTACTGTAAAATGTTTGGACACAAAATCTGTATTGAGAGTCAAGTTTAGATGAAAGTGCTTGCCATAGGCTGAAAGTTTAAAAAATAACTTAGATACTGCCTGCTGTGGATCAATAGGGTCCATACTCCGTCTTCTCCTTGAGTGTTTATCATTTTTCACAGTAAAGCTGAGAAACGCTCCATTTTGATCAACCCTTATTGGAATAGTTAGCTGGTAGTGTTCAAGGTAAGTCAGGAATTCCTCTTTGTAATCACAAGGCAGAGAATCCAGAAAAAAAACACATAGAAGAAAAGAAAATTTAACAGAACAAAGAAGCAGCAATATAAACAACAACCATGTCAGTTAAAACTATGAATCGTTATATGTGAGGTATGTACAAAAAAAGTTATATTAAACAAAAATGAAAGAAAAATTTAAAATCTGAAAGTTAAGTTGCAATTATTTTAATATTACTTGTGAAAGACTATTTTACTTTTTTAATTTTTAAAACATGGATCCTAAGAGCTAAATTCTCTAAGAAATATGAAAATTTTACATTGAAATAAAAAATAATGAAAAGCACACATATGTAAAAGAAAAGAGTTTAGCTCAGATAGAATCTGTTTTTGAAAGTTATCCAAAAAAGAATCTGTATAGCCTTGTAGAAATTATTATTTTTTAAGAAATCATCACATGGTGAAACCCCGTCTCTACTAAAAATACAAAAAATTATCTGGGCGTTGTGGCACACGCCTGTAGTCCCAGCTACTCTGGAGGCTGAGGCAGGAGAATCGCCTGAACCTGGGAGGCAGAGGTTGCAGTGAGCCGACATTGCGCCACTGCACTCCAGCCTGGACGACAGAGCGAGACTCCGTCTCAAAAAAAAAAAAAAAAAAAAAAAGTAACTTTATACAGAATAAGAATGAAGGTAAAGTTTACTAAAACTGGTGTGTAAAAGTGTGAAATATCTGCC